CAATTATAATTAGGAGGCTTAAGTGAATACTTGGACGCAATGTACACATTCTTTCACATTTCATGCAGTGTAATTATTAGCTATGTCAGCTTTTAATTCTAAATTAAACACTTAATACGTCAATCCCTTTCTATTTAACAATCTGCTTTAAATAAAACAAGAAAGTCAGCTTTTAAACATGTAACCACAGACAATGTGACTTTGCTCATGAGTGCTATAACTCAATCTCTCACATAGCCTGTTAGAAAAGCCCCATTTCTCATTTCTTGCTCTAATTAACAAACAAATCCATGTTAAATACTCATGTCCGTCTGATGATAGTTCAGGTAAATTCAGGGAAGGGTAAAACTCCAAGAAATATAATGGCCAATGGGAAAAAAACCCAGCAGGTTAGCATCTGTGGGGATCAACTCAACTGCATGGAAAAGTAAGAAAAAAATGAAAAGAAAGGAGAACTCAAGCGAGGTTATGAAAATCTCCAGCACAAAAAATAGCACAGATTATTTGGAAAGGGTTAGGAATCAAACTTCAAGCACACTGGACAAATGAATGACAATGAGAAGAGGGATGGTCAGTACAGGACTGAAGGTGTTGTATCTGAATGCACGCAGTATACACAATAAGGTAAATGAGCTTGTCGCGCAGATCGAAATTGGCAGGAATGACGTGATGGGCATCACGGAGACGTGGCTGCAAGGGGATCAGGACTGGGAGCTAAATATCCAAGGACATACATCCTATCGAAAAGACAGGTAGTTGGGCTGAGGGGGTGGGGTTGCCTTATTGGTAAGAAATGAAATTAAAACAATCGCAAGAAACAAAGTAGGGTCAGATGATGTAGAATCTGTGTGGGTAGAGTTGAATAACTGCAAAAGTGAAAAAAAACCATAATGTGAGTTATGTACAGGCCTCCAAACAGTAGTCAGGATTTGGGGCACAAGACACACCAGGAGATAGAAAAGACGTGTAAGAAAGGCAAGGTTATAGTGATCATGGGGATATCAATATGCAGGTGGACTGGGAAAATGAGGTTGGTAGTGGATTCCAAGAAAAGGCATCTGCAGCATGTTTATGAGATGGCTTTTTAGAGCAGCTTGTGGTGGAACCCACTAGGGATCAGGCATTTCTGGATTAAGTGTTAGGCAATGAGGCAGATTTGATAAGGGAACTTAAGGTGAAGGAAACCTTAGGAGGCAGTGATCATAATATGACAGAATTTACTCTGCAATTTGAGAGGAATCAGAAGCAACAGTATTACAGTTGAATAAAGGCAACTACAGAGGCATAAGAGAGGAGGTGGTCAGAACTGAGTAGCCTCGGAGGAAAGACAGTGGAACAGCAATGGCAGGAGTTTCTGGGAGTAATTCAGGAAATACAGCAAAAATTCACCCTTAGGAAAAAGAAGCATACTAAAGGGAAGATTAGGCAACCATGGCTGACAAGAGAAGTCAAGGACATCATAAAAGCAAAAGAGAAAGCATATAATGCAGCAAAGGGCAGTGGGAAGCCAGAGGAAGCCTGCAAAGACCAACAGAGGACTATGAAAAAAATATAAGGAGGGAGAAGTTTAAGTATGAGGGTAAGCTAGTCAGTAATATAAAAGAAGATTGCAAGAGTTTCTTTAGAAATATAAAAGTCAAAAGAGAGGCAAAAGTGGACACTGGACCACTGGAAAATGATGCTGGAGAATTAGTAATGGGGAACAAAGAAATGGCTGAGGAACTGATTAAGTATTTTGTGTAGTCTACACGATTAAAGAGATGAGTAATATCCCAAAAATTCAAGACAGTCAGGGGCAGAGGTGAGTATGGTGGCTATCACCAAGGAGAAGGTGTTAGGAAAACCGAAAGGTCTGAAGTTGGATAAGTTACCTGGACCAGATGGACTACACCCCAGAGTTCTGAAGGAGGTAGCTGAAGATATAGTGGAAGCATTAGTGGTGATCTTTCCAAACTCACTGGAGTCAGGGAGGCTCCCAGAGGACTGGAAAATCACTAAAGTAACCCTCTGTTTAAGAAGGGAGTGAGGCAAAATATGGAAAATTACAGGCCGATTAGCCTGACCTCAGTCGTTGGTAAGATTTTGGAGTTCATTGTGAAGGATGAAATTTCTGAATACTTGGAAGTGAATGGCAAAGTAGGGCAAAGTCAGCATGGTTTCACCAAGGGGAGGAGGCAATGAGCAGGTTAGGCCAAGGAGAGCCAATGGATGTTATCTACCTGGACTTCCAGAAGGCCTTTGACAAGCTGCTGTGCAGGAGGCTGCTGAGTAAGATAAGGGCCCCTGGTGTTAGAGGCAAGCTACTTGCATGGATAGAAGATTGGCTGTCTGGCAGAAAGCAGGAAGTGGGGCTAAAAGGGTCCTTCTCAGATGGCAGCCTTCTCAGATGACTAGCAGTGTTCCACAAGCGTCAGTGTTGGGACCACAACTTTCCACTTTATACATTAATGATCTAGATGAAGGAATTGATGCCATTCTGGCTATGTTTGCAGATGATACAAAGATAGGTGGAGTGACAAGTAGCATTGAGATGGTGGAGAGGTTGCAGAAGGATTTAGATAGGTTAGGAGAGTAGGCAAAGAAGTGGCAGATGGAATACAACATGGAAAAGTGTGATGTGGAGGTGCCGGTGTTGGACTGGAGTGGACAATGTCCAAAATCACACAACACCAGGTTATAGTCCAACAGGTTTATTTGAAAACACTAACTTTCTGAGCTCTGCTCCTTCCTCAGGTATAGATACTACACCTGAGAAAGAAGCAGAGCTCCAAAAGCTAGTTTTTTTCTCATTAACCTATTGGGAAAGTGTGAGGTCATGCACTTTGGTAGGAAGAATAGAGACATAGACTATTTTCTAAATGGGGAGAAAATTCAGAAATCTGAAGTGCAAAGGGACTTGGGAGTCCTAGTCCAGGATTCTCTGAAGGTAAACTTGCAGGTTGAGTTGGTAGTTAGGTAGGTAAATACAATCTTGGCATTTATTTTGAGATGACTAGAATATAAAAGCAGGGGTGTACTTCTGAGGGTTTATAAAGCTCTGGTCTGACTGCACTTAGAGTACTGAGAGCAATTTTGGGACCCATAACTCAGGAAGGATGTATTGGCCATGCAGCAGGTCCAGAGGAGGTACACGAGAATAATCCCAGGAATGAAAGGTCTAACATATGAGGAACTTTTGAGGACTCAGGCCTACAATCGATGGAGTTTAGAAGTATGAGGGGGGATCTACTTGAAACTTACAGAATATCGAATGGCCTGGACACATTGGACTTTGGGAAGACGTTTCCATTGGTAGGAGAGACAAGGACCCAAGGGCACAGCCTTAGAGTAAAGGGAAGATCCTTTAGAACGGTGATAAGGAGAAACTTCTTCAGCCAGAAAGTGGTAAATCTATGGAATTCACTGCCTCAGAAGGCTGTGGAGGTTAGGTCATTGAGTATATTTAAGACAGGGATAGATAGGTTCTTGATTGTCAAGTGGATCAAGGGTTATGGGGAGAAAGCAGGAGAATGGGATTGAGAAACTTATCATCCATGATTGAATGACACAACAGACTCAGTGGGCTGAAAGGCCTAATTTCTGTTCTTATATCTTATAGTCTTATAAAGAAGAAAAACAGTGATTAGACCAATCTAGGCAAATAGAATCAGAACTGGAGAGTGGTAACAAGCAGCATGGCATTGAAGAATTAAGAATAGTTACAGCCCCAAGGAGGCCATTCAGGGCATCATGCCCATGTTGTTTCTATGTCAGAGCAACTCACCTGGCTCCATTCATCCATTTTTCCTTGTAACCCTGAAAGCCTTTTCTCTTCAGTTAATTATTCAATTTTCTATTGAACACCATGACAGAATGTAGCTTCATCACACTTTCAGGTCGTGTATTTCAAATTCAACCATTCGCTGCACAAAATTGTTTATTTCCTTGTTGCTGTTCCTTACTTTGCTAATCATTTTAAATTGGTGGCCTTTGCTTCTTGATTCTAACAGCATTGGGAACAGTTTCTCCCTATTTACTCTGTCAAGATCTCTCATGATTTTGAATACCACAATCACTGTCACTTTTAATCTTCTCTTCTGCAAGGAGGATATAATGAGTAATTTATCCAATTCATTGCCAGGGCAGTAATGAGCAGAGTGATTTGTCTGATTTACCCAAGACATATTCTGTCTGATTTTCTTTGCACTATGTCGAATGGAATTCTGTTTGATTTTAACCAGGGAAATGGGGAGGGTAGGAAAGGGGTGGTGGATGCATGTGGTCAGAGGGTAGAGCAGCTTGGAATGGAACTTCTGGACCGACATGTTTTGTTTCTCCATTTAAGTATTTTAGAAATTCCCAATACGGAGGTAGTGGGACTCAGGGATACACTTCTATCAGTCAACCCACTTATGTTGTGGCAGCCGTTTTGTAAGATGCTTCAAGGGTCAGTTCTGAGCTACCCTGAGTATCATGCTAAAGATACCCTAGTATAGCAGATGTTACATCCATTGAGAACAAAGTATATTCTGAGCCTCATAAATAGTCCAAAAATGGACAATGCTCTAGCTTTGATCCAAGAGAGGTTGGTTATTAAGCATTGGTAAAAAGAGACACAAAGTCAAAACTTTGACATTGCATTCATCAGGATTGGGACGCAACAATCCAATATATGGAGCAATAGAAGAGGATGTCCTCCTCTATAAATTATTGTTCCCTTGTTAAGGTTGGTTTCTTGAGTCCCAGTCTTGATGAGTGCAAGGCAAAAACTTCAACTTTGTGTCCCTTTTTAACAACGTTCAAGTTCTGTAATACTAACAAATTAGATTGATTATTAGTACTTGGTGATCCTTCTGTTCCCACAGGATCAATTAGGTGGAAAAGAGTATTTTTCCTTTGGTCTGATCCAGACACATCCAGGAGAGGTAGGGATTTTAGTGTGAACCGATGATGTTGCTCCAGGCACTGATGCCATTCCCTGTTGTTTAATGAACTTTTCTCAATATTTAAGACAGGTTTACCTGCAGCTGAAATTGACTGGTTTCATTCTAACACATTTCAAGTGACAGAACAGGATCTCTTCCCTTCAATAAATAACCTAGATAGAGACAGGTTTCCTGTGATGTTCATCACTCATGCTGTAATGATGGAGCACTCTTTCGCCATTCAGCTCTTCATGGTGGTAGTCCCATCCCATTTATGTTGGAGAAAATGTAGACAAAAGATAGCATTAAATTAGTCTGTGAGCAATAGTAAATGTGAGTGTCAAAGAGCAGTTGCAATATAGGTAAATGCACATTTGAAACAAATTGCAGGACTGCAACTAGAAACAATGTCATTTCAGTAACTTGTTGCTGTCAAACATACTTACAATACACAGAATCATAAGTTTTTCACTGCATTGCATCAATGCTGCTGTTTCATTTTCAGTCACACCTATCTACACTCATGCCATATCCTTACTGTTTTAGCACAGCAGGAAGAAGTAAGACTGTTTGAAAGCTAGGGATAAAACTTGGGATATCATGTTGTATTGTTACACATAAGCCTGAAATGTGGCACCAAGTAAATATGTTACCTATGGCATATTTCAACTCTATTAATCAGATAGTGCAAAAATACCTTTTCTTTAGTATGGTGAAACATAATTGCTTGTTAAGTAACATTTTTCCGATGTTGATTTTAGTTTGCATCTTAGAGTAAAAGTCCTAAAATGTGAAACCTCTCCCTTGGTCATTTCTTTTGGCCTTTTACACCAACATTTTGACCTTAAAAGCTGACTTGCTGCACACAAGTGCATGGTATTCCATCTCCCTGTTAAGGATCTGATCATGTTGATTAAAAGATAACTAAATTCCTCTTCTGTTCTACAAAATTGACTATATAACATTTCTCTGCATTGAAGTTTATCTGCAGTTAAGCTGACTACATTGCAAATTTGTCTATTTCCTCCTGTAATTTTCTCAAATCAGCACTTGTGTGCCTATTTTTGAATAATTTCTAGTAAAAAAACATACCCCAGGACATATTGCTGAGACACATTATTACCAATCTCAAAAAAATGTTTTTATGTCCCTACACTTTGCTTTCTGTTCCTTAGCTATATGTCCAATTCTTCAGCTGCGATGATATTTAGTAATAAATCTGGAATACAAAGCTAGTTTCAGTGATTGTAACCATATAATTACAATTGATTGTTATAAAATTCCATCTGGTTTACTGTTATTCTTTAGGGAGGGAAATCTGCCATCTTTATCGGATCTGGCCTATATGTTAAATATAAATGAAGGAAATTTTGAACATTGGAATAGATTTAGGCCATTCATTCCATCACAGTTGCACCACAACTCAATATGATCATGGCTGATTGAACACCTCAATGCCTTTTACCCATCCCATTCCTGTACCTCTGTACATCACTAGTAATGAGAAATCCACCAGTCATTATCTTAAACATATTCAAAGAATAAGCTTCCATAGTCCTCTGTAGAAATCATTTAGCTTCTCCAAGTTCCACAGATTCACTACCCTCTGGCTGAAATGCCTTAATGCTTCACGTTTCTGAAGCTTTTCCCAGTTTAGGTAATAGTATATGCCTTTATCTTTCCCACTGAAGCACGTAACCCCACCCTCCTAATCCCTGTAACCTTGCATTTTCCATGGCTAATCCACCTAGCCTGCACATCCCTGGACACTATGGACAAATTAGCATGGCCAATTCAACCAAATCGCATATCTTTGGATTATGGGAGGAAACAGAGCACCCAGAGGAAACCCAAGCAGACATGGGGAGAATGTCCAACTAACACAAACAGTTGCCCAAGGTTGGAATTGAACTTGGCTCCCTGGGGTCAGTGTGGACCAGATAGGCTGAATGGCCTGTTTCCACACTGTTAGGATTCTATGATCTAGTCTCCCTGCCATCATTTTTACTTCCTTCTAATTTGACAACCCCTCAAGTTACCATCCTACAGACAAGCCACCCTAATGACACTAGCAAATCTGCCTGAGAGGATATCCATCACAGTCCTGTTAAGGTGCAATATGTCCATCTGAACAGGTCCCATCTTCCAAGAATTGGTCTCAATTTGTCATAAATCTGACACCCACCCTCATACCCTAGTTCTCCAAAGGGATATTCCATCGATCAATCTCCAGTTCTTATACTCACTATCACATAACATTGGGAGTAATTCTGAGATAACTGCTCGAGGTCCTGCTTTTAACTCCCCGAAATCTGCCTTCATGACCTTATCCCTCTTCCTACCTATATCGCTGGTACCAATGTTGTTGACTCTTAACTTCCCTTGGAAATGCGCTAAAGACCCATTCAATTTAGGAGAACTTAGGGTGGGTGAAAAATGCTGGTCTTCCCTGCAATGCCCACATCCCGTTAAAAGAAAATATACTTCTTAAAACAAAAGCATTAATTTTATTACAAGCCTATAGTATGGTACCTTATCAAAAAGATTTTCAAAATGCAAATGGCTAACATTCATGATATTCCTTTTATGTGCACATTAAGTGATTTCTTCAAAAAACATAATTGTTAGTCTGGCATGATTTATCATTTATAGACATATATAGGCTGTCCCTATTTCGCTTATGTTTTACTAAATGTTCGCTAGTATGAGGTTATATTATGGAAAATGTGCATATTGTTGTAACTTGTGTGAGAAAAAGAAAAATTATCAATGGAAATGCAGAGAAAAGTATCTTATGTATCAAAAGTCTACGAAAGATTTCAGCATTGATTTGGCATTTTGTTATCAACTGTGGGGGCAGAAATAAATTGCAATTTAAGGCAAATAAGTTCCTCTCTTACATTGATACAACACATAGCCAGCCTCCTTACCATATGGTTCTGTCCTTTGAATGGAAATACCTAACTCTCCCAATAGCATCAGCAGATCAATTCTTTTCTTAATAGTTGATTTGAATAGGACATCATGAATCATCAAAATTTTCTGTCGATTGGAACATGCCTATCTTGCCAGTATTAACAGAGCAGAGTTGTTGCCTAGGAAGGGAAGGACGAAATGAAAAATATTTTGGATGAGATTCAGAAATGTTACTTAAGGGTGGGCTGATTGCTATTTGAACTTGGCTGAGCTTGTGAGCTGTTGCCAAAAGAATGAGGAAGTTACTGTGTTGCCTATTTATGCTTTACACACATTAAGCGTTAGTCACGGAAGGCTGTTCTTGTCTGGCTCTTGCAGGAATTGACAATGTAAAGCACAAGAATCCAACTGTACAGAGACTAGGAAACTGGCAGGCCTGAAACAGGTCCATTATATGCTTTAGACGTAGTTGGTAAAATTGTAGCAAAAGCTACAAACATCTAAGTGAGCAAACAGATGATAGATTTGTCTTAATAACATAGTGCTGTCATAATATTCCTTTCTCTCGTTCATACATTCAAGGCCATAAAAAAATGCAGCTGAAGACAACAATAACGAAGACTGATATCACATAAATTTGATATATGTGTTGTTGCAAAGAAAAGAAACTGAAGAAACTGTTCAGGGGTACCAACAATCAGGTCTAAGGTTTCCTTTACCCACTGCAAGCTTTAATAAGTCTGGACAAGCAAGGCATTAATGATTGTAAAATAGTATATTCTTTTCCAACATAAATTACCCTGTTTGCAGTGATGATTATTTATTCTTTGGAGTGACTCCAATTGCTTCTTTGCAATACAGCAGCCGAGCATAAGACTATTGTCCTGGCACTGTCCTTATGCGTCTATGCTGGCACATTTTCCAGGTCCTTCTACAGGGATGCATAGGCACTGACCTGAATCAGAGAGTAGGTTCACGTATCATGCCTTTAAGATTTTGGACACTCATAATGTAGAGATAGTGTTTAACAAATATGCAGATTAGCCTCTGAAGTTTGCTGTAATGGAATCAAGGGAATCTGGGAGAGGTAGGAACAAGTGTAGCTCTAGGCACCGAAATCTATTGCCATATTATCATAGCTGCTGAAAGCATCATTTGAGGTCGTTGGTGGAGTCAGACCAAAATTAGAGTGAGAGCTGGCCCTGTAAGTGTGAAGTAGCATTTTACCTGAGAAACTGCACTGACCTGGTCTACTGACTTGGTTGAGCCTCACCTAGTGGCGTGGCCTCCTTTGCTGGTCAGCAAAGTGTGAATCTTTGAAATTTTCTATTGTGGAAAACCGTGGATGCTCATTCATTGAGTGCGGGCACGTCAGTAATTGATGGATTTTTGGAAAGCAAGGGAGGGATACGAACAGAGTGTGGGAAATAGTGTGGAGGACGAAGACCATAAGATCATACGATATAGGAGGAGAATTAGGCCATTTCGCCCACTGATTGTGGCTGATATGTTTCTCAAGCCCATTCTCTTACTTCTCCCAGTAACCATTGATCCCCTTACTAATTAAGAATCTGTTTATCTCTGTTTAAAGACACTCGATCGCAATAAATTCCACAGATTCACCATTGTCTGCGAAAAGAAATTCCTCCTCATTTCAGTTGTGAAGTGTCATTCCTTCACTCTGTGACTGTGCCCTTGGGTCCTGGTCTCTCCTATTGGTGGAAACATCAGCTCCACATCCACTCTATCCTCGTCTCTCAGTATTCTGTAAGTTTCAATGAGATTCCACCTATCCTTCTAAACTCAGAAATCACATGATACCAGGTTGTAGTCCAACTGGTTTATATGAAAAACAACTGGCACCTCCACATCATGGCCTTCTAAACGCCATTGAGTACCAACCCAGAGACCTTAACTGCTTCTCATAAAATAAGCTCTTAATTCCTGGGATCATTCTTGTAAACCACTTCTGAACTCCCTCCAGTGCCAGCACATCCTTCCTTAGATACAGGTCTATAACTCTATGACTCTATGACACTCACCCAAATTCCTCCCCCTGCTTACCCAGGGATCATAGCACTCTCAGTGTCTACCCTATCAAACTGTTTCAGAATCTTATATATTTCAATGAAATCACCTGTCATTCTTCTAAACTCTAGAGAATATGGATCCAATTTACTCAGCTTCTCATCCTGAGACAACTGATCAATCTAATGAACTTTTGCTATATCGGCTTGAATACAAATATTTTATTCTTTAAATAGGAGACTGTGTGTGCAGTAAGCCAGCAGCTGTTGAAAGTAAGAGTTATTGAATGGAGACTGGTAACATTTCAAGCACTAAATATTCTGAGTGTTGACGTATTTGATTGCGCCAAGGAACAAGGGTGGGACCCTTTTGCAGGGTTTACCGGGCCACACAGATCAGTTCAAGGGTCAGTGCTCAGTCAGTTTAATCAGAGTAGATATTGAAGAAGGCAGTTAGCTCCATAGGGTTGAAATGTTGTTAGCTGCAGGAAGCTCGGGTCTCAGTACAGCCCTGGGATCATTTGGTAGCTCCATGCACTAGGGGCTCAGAGAAGCCCATTGAGAGCTAAAATGGTGGTAGATGGTGCTGGCTTCACGTTGCTGGGTAGCTGGGGCTCAGAGAAAGTCTGGGGCACTTATCAATTCTGTGGAGCTGAAAGGAAGCTGTCTGCCAAGGAATGGACAGTGGGTGAAACAGAAGCCTTTAAGTACCCTTGAGAATCCAGTGGGAAAGTGAGCTGCTGGGATGGGAGAAGTCATCAAGGTAGTCTGAGTTGGAATGTTTTGAGGGAGGGGGAGCTGAAACCCCTCCTGATGCAGATGGAGTTTTAAAGAATTGTTGTGACTCATGGTGATAACTGTCGCCTGAGTGGGTTACTGACAAATGAATGCACTCACAGTTTGCCATATTACATTCAAACTACTATCTTATTGGTCATTCACTTAATTTGCTTATTACTTTCTTCAGCTTGTCTGTCTTCCTTACACAAGGGTATATACTTAGTGTTCATAATAATATTGCTGTATAAACAATGATCTTTACTCCAATGAATTGGTGACGTTATGTGAGCTCCTCGTACCCACCACCTTGACTTCATTGCATCCACCATTCATTCAGAACAGTCATTTTCTAGTGAATGCTTTGACCAGCCTTGGATTTGTTTTAATTCACAGGATGTTGGCATCATTTTCCATTTAATATACATCCCTAATTATCCTGAAGAAGATGATGATGAGTTAACTTTTTGAACTGCTGAAGTCCATGTGGTGTAGAGGAACCCATAGTGCTTTTAGGAAGAGAGTTTCAGGATTTTGATTCAGCGACAATGAAGGAACAGTGGTAAGGTTCCAAGTCATGACGGTGTGTGGCTTGGAGGCGAACTTGCAGATAGTTTGCTAATTCAAGAACATGACAATCAGCCAAGCTCCCATTACTGGCTGTTTTTCAGTGATCCCACCCTACATAGATTTTTGTGAAGTGAGGATAGCATTGATTAAAGTTGTAATGTTTCTTGTGTTTCAATAACTGAGGAGAAATTCTAACAGGAAAAGGAAGATTGTCACAGGTGTGGGTATTGGGTGAAATCCCCAATAATGTACATCTGGTTGGGAACTTTATGGCCTCCCCATTTCTGTGTTTCAACAGAGCCTGGATTTGGCAGCAAGATGAGATTTAATGGTTAGGGACATAATTAGAATTTTCAAAGACCCAAATAAGCCTGTTTATAACTCTGCCATTTGGCGTTAGTGGACAGCACACGTGTTCCTTGATCTCTCCACATCTCATCACAGTGCAGGAGGTAAGGGCACGATGGGGAATGATTGGTTATTGAGAATCTTCAAAACACTGAAATCTGCAGGTTTGTTGTTTAGACACTGGTGAAAAGATTGTGTTTATGTGGTTACTCCAGTCATCTTGAATTCACTACCTTGAGTGAAAAGTACAACATTTTGGAGTTACTTTCACATGACTTGGAGCATGTCAACTTTCTTGAGGTCTTCACTGAAACATAGGCAGATCCCATGTAGAAGGTGCTTGGGTCTTGGAGGAGGAACCAGATGTGCTTATGTGTCCTGCACCCACATACCTGGATATTGGAGACACCCACCACAGACTCATCAATGCTCACTGCACCTAAGAAAAATGCAAACCACTGTCTAACTCTTCCAACAGAAACTCTGTGCCTGCTTGTCCCCCCCACCCCCTCCCCCCCACTTCCCATTAAACAAACCTAATTCAACAGTCAACCAGCAAACTATTACACTCACACACCTTCATCCACTTTCAATGTCCTAGGGATTGCCACTAACCAGAAAAAGAACTGGACCAGCTTTATAATTAATGCAACGGCATGAACAGGTCAGAAGCTGGAAATTCTGAGTCACAATTCCTGACTCCACAAAGTCTGTCCATCAACAACAAGGTACAAGTCAGGAGTGTGATGGAATACCTTCCACTTTCCTGGATGAGTGCAGGACTACACCCAAGAAGCTTGACACTTTTCAGGATGAAGAAGCCCACTTGACTGGCACCCAATCTACCACTTTCAACATTCACACCCTCCACTACTAATGCACAGTGACAACAAGGTATACCATCTGTAAACTGCTCTGCAGCAACTCACCCAGACTCCTCAAACAATACTTTCTGAACCCATGACCTAATCACATAGAAAGACAAGGGCAGCAGATGCATGGGAACGCCATTAGGGATGGGCACTGAATGTTGGCCTCGTTGAGAATGCCAACACCCCATGATCAAATAAAAAAAAAGTCAGGGATTTTTGAGTTTATGTAGTACACGCTGTGCTAAACCAGCTGCAGTTGAGTCAGAATTTCCTTTGGTTAAATCTACTATTACTCATTTTATGAAGAGAGCCACGAGTCCAGCAAGAGATTTTGTGGATCAGCTCAATTAAACTTTTCTGGGTAGGCCTTGGTAGGTGTTGGGTTTCCTCAGGAACAAGAATATAGATACGCCGGAAGTCAAGGCATCAAAAAACCCTGAAGATTTTTGTTTTGCAGATGGTAATTCTTAATGACCCAATGCAGAAACAAATCTACATCTGAGGAATAGACAAGATATAAGAGTGAGTTGTATTTATGCTTTGTCAGTCATGCGGGATCCACCCTTATCCAACAACAGATGTCTGCATAACAAAGGCACACTTGCCTCGACGAGTTTGAAGAAATATGCAGGCTATGATTAATGATAAAAATATGCAGTATCTGGTGCCAGGCCCTCAGACCATTCAAGTACTCAGACAGGGTCAAAAATGAAACATTGTCTTTGTTAACCTTTTTATCAGGTTCTCTATTTCCAGCCACACACACAGTTAAATTAATTATTGCCAACTGCTTTTTTTAAACTGCAGGAACATACATGATTGCCTGGAATGCTCAAAATACTGCTTCGGAACAACACCTGGCGCATTCTAATCAGATGTCTTGAAATTGGCTGTCTCTATTAAAATCATTTTATGTTGCAGTTCAAAAGAATTCTACAGTCCTGATCTGGAATCTACCAGTTTTGGTCCCACAGATTCCCTCAAGGGTCAGGAGTTACTCAGGAGGTCGAAGGCCAAAAGCAATGATAATGCATATGCAATCAAATTGGAAGGATGCGACTAGTGAAACCTCTTATTTAACTCTGCGTCTACCCAAATTGATATGTTGGGGTCTGAGATTCTGTTTAGTTCCTTGGATTTCCCACTAGGTAATTCTGTGTTTAAATCACTTGTATGCCCCTGGTACCCTATAACAGTGGAGTCTGCTGGGATATATTCCCTTCACTTTTCCCTTTATTTTGTGAATGTATTTTTCCCCTAAACTGTTTCACATTCCCTGG